GATTGAGTGACCATTTATTTATTTTGAAGGGATCATTACCCCCGGAAAAGCGATCCACCAATCGACTAATAATCGGGTTCCTACTAACTGCTAGATAAACAGAGGCGTGTGGAGTAAGGAAACTTGCCTAAGGTTTCGTCCTGCTTGGGAATTGAAACCAGATCCTCTCGCTTGCGAGATGAGAGCTCTAATCACTAAGCTTCAGGATTCCAATATTAACAATAGTAACAACATAGATTTACATAACGCCACTCACGTAAAAATAAATGTCTCAAATCATTTTACAAAATACAATACGAGTGTAAAGTGAATGTTGCTGTTTAAGCAAATGTGGGAGCTACAGAATATACTGTAAAGTTCATTGACTGTTAAATGTTAAATAATGCTAATGTTCGGGTGACATTAGCCAAGTTTATGTCCTTGGATTATCGTGGAGTCCTTAAGCATATTGGTTAGAGGCCTCAAGAGGAGCTGGGTTCAATTCACAGCAGGGCGAAACCTTAGGCAGGTTTCTTTACTCCACAAGCCTCCACACGTCTCTGTAAGTAGGAGCCCAGTTGTTAGTTGATTGACAGATCATTTTTCCGGGGTTAATAATCAAGCAGAGGCCCGAGACCAACTACTGCACAGACCCCTCAATCACTGCCCAAACACAAAACCATTTTCTTCTGAACCACCAGACCAGGAAACTGTTAAAATGGGTCCAGTGTGGAAATATGGGGATCAGTACTTTACAATAAGAAAAAGAGTTCAAATTGGGATTAAAACCTGGCGATCAGTGAAACACAGTAAAACATGAACTGACCAACAAGTAGCGTAGCTGAATCAGTAAATTAAAGAGGTTAATTAAGAAATAAAAATCAATTCAAATAGCATTGATGTCGACAGCCCTGAACTGGAAACCACCTTAAATACTGTAATGCACAGCCAGTCAAATCCTTTTAGAATCTCATTAAGTGTGGCAAAGGATTGCTGTAATGTAATTGTCCAGAATAAGTGCAAGTGGCAGCTTGTGTAAAGCACGCTATGGAGATGCCTCTCAGTGACTGGGCAGTTAAACTGCACATTTCATTGGCAGCAACTGAGCCCTGCACTCAACTACATGAGGACAGGTAGACCTGCTAATATTAATAATAATAGACCTGCTAATGACCTGCTGCAGTACGGCAAACGGTAAATCAAAGTCACCCCAAACAACAGAAACTCATTTCAATACAATCTACTTCCAAAGCCTTCTCTCCCTCACCCACCAACATGGGCACATATAGTACAGCAGGTATAGATCAGACAGACAGATCCCAGTTGAGATTGAGTTGATTTAACTCTTCCAAACAAAAGGTGGATAACTATCTGGCTTGGGCAATCATTGATGCTCAGAGGGATGAAATGCAGAATGAAATGATCATTTAATACACAGAAGCTGGTGGTTCTGGGATCTGGAGAAGAATGCCGTCTGGGGGTGTTGGGGGGAGGGAGTAACCCAGAGCTGAACAGTGCTGATAAACAGTACTCATAAATTCAGATGCTATGGGAGATCAGGGAGTTTCTGTACCAAACCTTCCCTTGGTGTATAAGAGGGTGAATACAGTTTGGGTTAGGGTTGATTGTGCACATTCAGGGGGAAAAGTGGGCTTGATCTATATGTATTATTTTAGTGCTGACCATCCTTTGATCCGGTAAAAGTGACAGATAGGACCCGGTGATTTCCAAGCCTGGGGTATATGTTACAGAAAGTTTGGTTATTGAAATGCATATTCCCTGAGACAGTGAACAATATGTTGCCCGACAGAGCTGGGAGCTTGACGGGCGAGTTAACCCGTTCCAGCTCTGAAACATCATAAAATAAGGTTCAAAACACAATATGAGAACCAGAAATAATTTGGTCCATAGACTCCCACATTAATAAAGGCAAATTTTTAAACTTAAATTTAAAAATGTAAAACTGTGCCGTGTGACTTGTACCATAACGTCAACTGCTGTAACACTGCCTGGTTGTTATAGTGATCGCTGTGAACAGGATCCCTCCTCCCACAGGAGGCCGTTCCAGGTCCCGAAGAGCCCTGGATGGGACAACAATGAGTCTCCAAAAGTCATGTAACCTCAACAAATTACATGTGTATAGCGCCTTTAACGTCAGGAGCACTTCCCAAAGCACTGGACAGAAAGGTGTGCACCTGAGCTGGGGGTTCGAATCAGGAGGGGTGGAGGTGGAGGCATGGGAGGGTGACCTATAGTCGAACCAATAAAGCAAACCAGGAAAGCAGCAGCAAAGGTTCAAAAAATAATTCACATGGATTACCCCGACGGCTTAGTGCTATAAATGTGCAGAGCTGTCTGGTATTGTGATAGCAGCCTAGGAAGGTCCCAGGTTCAATCCTTCACTTGTCTATGTTGAGTTAGCCGGTGTCAGCTGGAGAGGGGTTTGGGATGGCAGGTGAGGGATTCATTGGAAGTTGGAGCAGATTATTGTCACTCAAGCATCAATATTGTTTTGTGTTCACCAATGTAAACATTTCTGGGAGCCCATTCTGTATGAAGTATAGCATTTCTATAGGCAATGATGTACATGGGCAGTCAATTATGTAGTCTGAGGGAATATAGTAATAATCCTTGGATTTAATATAGCGCTTTATCACGTCTTCGAGACATCTCAAAGTGCTTCACAGAAAATACGGTAAAGTGAATTGACTGTGTGTGTTTTGGGCAGATACCCTGCGCAAGCATGACAGGAACGGAAGCTGCAGTGTGATATCGGAAACTAATGCGGATGTGGATCCTTATTATTTCAATTGAAAGTGAAAGATAGCTGTAGCTGCAACACACATGGTGAAAGCCACATAGTGAAAGGATGGCCTTTCATCCTCAATTACCCTCTGTCGCACAGTCTACAGGCTACTCTTGTGCCCTACACTCTCTCCCAGAGGAACAAAATGCTCCTGGAATCTTAACATCGAATTAAAGGAAATCTTGCTCTATTTATGGGAGCTCAGAGATTTAATGACTAACGATAAGGAAGCATCCATAAGAGATGTGCCTCACTGTGTGGGAACTAATTTTGGTCCCTGGGAGGCTGTAGATAATACTGCAACAAGCCAATGGGTCTGTTTGCTGGCCCATAAAATATTCTTATGCAGCTTTCAAACAGACACAAAGGCGATGCGATATTTTCTAATGCACAGCCACTCCGGAGTTTGATTTTGTCTGACAGCTCCAAACTTTTGCCTGGAACAGGCAAGAGGAAATGATCCAAGTGTCACTGTGCCTTCAGAGGCGCAGTAACAAGGCTTTCTCAGAAGAAATCCCTGTTACTAGTACAGGGACACCTGAGATTGCACAAACAGGCTCCGTAAACACCCCATGTACACGCTCTGCACGTGAAGGTTCGATCTACCAACAATATAAAAAATTAACGATCCTGACATTTGATATCACACCTTTCATGTCGGGTGGTTGTTTCAAAGTCCTTCACAGGATTTAATAAAAAGTGTAGTGAAATAGGCATGTGTTTCTTGCCCTTTGTTCTAAGGTGAGGTGCTGTTTTAACTGCGTTTTATTTACATATATTGATCCGGGGTCTCGATCATGTGGTGATGTTAAGAATGGAATTGATGCCCAACTTTTGGTGGTTTGTTCGGCTGGAATTTGCATACAGACTCATGAGTACCTTTGACCTTGAGGATGAGGGTCAAGATGCTACATGTAATGCTTGGAGACTTTTTTGTGATTTGACTAATTTGGACCTGGGGAGTTGGGAGAAAGAAACCCCTCCCCCTCAAAAAATAGGGGTTATGGAAATCTGACTGAAGTTTAACAGTTTTGCCTTTCTGTTTTTCCAGAGAAAATTAGTTTCACATTCCATAATTCCCCTCACCTCCAACACATCGCACATTAAACACTACTCGAGTTATTTCAATAATTTGGTGCAAGGATACAACAGCAAAGCTGAGCTGAGGACCTGAATCAAAGGGGACTCCTTGCCCAAGAATTAAGTCTGTCAATTAACAACCATTTTAAAGAAGAAACACAGGAGAAGCCAGTGAGTGTAGAGGAGTCTCGAACTTTCCTGGAGAGCACACAAACCGTATCTGTGCAGATATCTGGAATCTTTTTAACAGCAACAGCAGGACTGGTTGACTTACTCACTTCATTATTCCAAAGCAAAACTTGGAAACGAGGAGCACATTTTACAGTCAAACACTGACACAGATGCATTGGGTTAAATGGTATGTAAAGGTTTCTATTTAAATCTTCCATTTGTATCCAAACTTGTGTCAGCTCCAAAAACCTCAATGCATTATTACAGTGTTGCCTGAATTTTTGTGAATCTGCACTGTGTATCTGAGAGAAAGAGTGATGCACTGTGTCGCTGAGCGAGGGAGTGATGCACTGTGTCTGACAGTGCGAATGATTCACTGAGTCACCGAGATTGAATAATGTACTGTCACACAGAGAGGAAATGAGGCCTCGTGTGACTAAGAATGGGAATGATGCACACCGTCACTGAGAGAGGGGGTGCTGCTCTACGTTACCATGAGTGGGAATGATTCAATGTGTCATCAAGAGAGTAATGTACTGTCACACAGAGAGAGAGAGGGAGTGAGGCACTGTGCCACAGAGAGAGAGAAATAATCTGAGATGGGAAATGACACCTGTGTCACCGTGAGTAAGAGTGAGGTTCACCCTTGAGATTGCCCACATGGCCTGCTTTCCAATAAGAGGGAGCAAATTACACTAAACTGCTCTTAGGCACCTCCTAGTGGCAAAAGCTCCAGAGGACTTTATCTTCTGCCTATTTGGCTGGGGAAATACGTATGACAAGAAGATGGGAAATAAATGAGAGAGAAAGGGTGGAGGGAGGCGGGGGGGGGGGGGAGAAGGAAGAAATAATCCAATAAATCTTTCTCTATAATTCTAGGTTGACTTTCTCTCTCACACACTTTTCTTATCAGCATTCTCCTTAGGAAATGTGGAAAAAAACATGCAATTTATGGAGCACTCACCTGGGATCCTTCTGAATGCTGTCGATGGAAGGTGACCTTGCCAAAGTAGCTTCAGGCGGAATAGCTGGCCCAGATTTGCTGTACGGCGAGTCCACTGAAGGGCAGTACTGGAGTGTCCGGTAAGGATCCGCGTAATTCCCCACTGGCCCTGTGGCATAGCTGGCTCTCTGGTAAGTGGCCGTGCTCTGGCTGGCATGCTGGCTGGTTGTGCGCTGCAAGGGTACGGAGTCAACAGCAGGGGAGGACGGGGCTACAGTAGGAAAGTAGGGACAAAGCAAAAAACTGAGGACCTGCTCACAGAAATGGTTTACCAGGTCTAGGCAGAGGAACACCACGCACACACATAAGTACAAGGGTTTGAGAGGAACAAAATCACTGTCAGAATCACACAGAGTATTACGCACACACATTGCAAGAAATAAACAACACGCGGTAGCTTTTACATGACACTTTTAAAGGAACAGTTTAAAACATTTTTAATGAGACAGCATTGCATCCTTACCCTTCTTATCTCTACCTCCATCTCCACTTCCACCCTTTCCCCCCACCCGGATCAGGAGAGCAACAGGAATCTCAGGCAGGTTATCAAGCATACTTCTGTCCTATGTCTTGCCTGGGAAGTGGAGTAAGATGGCACGTGGTGGGAACATACAGCTGCCCTAAGCTCAGATCACAGGTATGTGGACTGTCAGCCATGGTGGGCTGGTTAGAGAATGACTGTGTTAAAAACTTTATGGGGTCTAATTTGTCAGGGGCACCTATTTATATACTTAAAACAATGTAAATGTACACATAATCTCTTGACATAATCTACCTTGTCTTAGATTGTAGGACCATTCTGTCTTTTGTTTGGTTAACCGGGTGTCTGACACACGTGGAAACCCATCACCATCTTTAGGAGTATGCAAACCAAACTGAGATTTCCATATATTCCACCTGCACATGGAAATCCGAGAGACAGACTGTTGGAAAGGAATACATCCTTGAGGGACGCATCCTGCTTACCTAATTCTGGAAAGTATTAGGCGTGGGTTGGTAAGAGACAGGTCTTGGGGATCCCAAGTGTGGGTTGGGGTACTGCTACTACCGTTGGGAATCTAACCAGCTAAAACCGTACAGCTTGTCATTGATATCACTGTCTGGCAAGCTTTCCTACTGCTGACTGTTTGGGCTTTGACGTGCAGGGTTAACAGAAGCTGAGTGCAATGATTCCTTGACCCCAGTGAATGGTCTGTTCGCCTAGCTCAGGAACCGGACTACCAAGACCCCCAGAGAGGGCTGGCTCGATTCTGACATTCCGTTGCTAGTTCAGCTCTAAGGACACCCTGCTTATCTCCCCCAAGGAAAATAGTCACTAATTTTGTCTTAAAATGTAAGATTGCACAGAATTGTGGAAAATCCTTCAATTTGCTCCCAATTTAGAAGCCATTTTTCACAGTTCTTACAAAGTACCTGTGTAAGACTAAACTTAAGAATTTTCCACGATTCTTTGCCAACGTACTTTTTTTAGACAAAACAATATTATAGACTAAGAGCAAATTGAATTCAGGCCTCTGGAAGCCTCTTCATTGTTGGTCAATAATTGTCTTTGTACATGTGTTCACCTTTGGTTTGCACAAATTACAAATTGCCCTCTCCCCCTCCCCACACCTCCCAATCTGTTCCTATCAGACTTTTCATTCCGGCTGTGTACAATAAGTGTTAAGTTCACAAAAGTCATAGCTCTGCAACTTTAAAGACTCCACTACTGAAGCTAGTCTTCAGTTATGATAAGGAATGGGATTTTGTGCGATCAGCAGGAAGAGATAGAGGGTGCTGGAAAAGGGCGCAGTCCTGTGTGTAGTCCAGCCATGGAATTCAAATCATCATTTCCATCGGACGTGTTTGCACACTGGTGCTGAATAAGTTACATTTTTGATCACTGAGGTCTGGCAGAAACTAACACTTTGCTGAAGCAGAAGTGAATTGCTAATCAGAAAGAGCTGTGTTCGGATCACCTTTCTTTACAGGGGCCAGTCACCAAATACATCAATACAAGGGATGTTGTCATGAAATCAGACCTAATCTTCACACAGAGAGCTGTAGATTAGAATGTAGAATGTGAAATGCATTACCCCAGGAAGCCATCATAAATAAGGAATCTACTTGTATGTTTAAGAGAGAAAAGCGAGAGACGAAAGAGAAGAGAAAAAGGGATAGATATATAATTATGTAGAGGATAAGTTAAATAGAGAGAAAGAGAGCAAGTTAGATAGAAAACAATGTAGATAGAGAGCAAGAGATAGAGTGAGAGATAGAGCGTGAGGGATAGTGAGCAAGTTAGATGGAGAGTGAGTTGGACAGACAACAAGTTAGATAGAGAGCAAAAGTTAGAGAGAGTTAGACAGAGAGCGAGAGATACAGTGATTTAGATAGAGTAGATAGAGAACAAGAGATAGAGCAAGTTAGATGGAGGGAGTTCGATAAATTGAGGTACAAAGAGAGCGCGTTAGATAAAGAGATAGAAAATGAGTTAAGATAGAGAAAGTTAGATACAGAGATAGCGAACAAGTTAGATAGAGAGCGAGTTGGATGGATGGATAGATAGAGTGGTTTCAGGCTAAACCATCATCATGGGGGAGGTTCACCCTTATTCCTGTCCATAAGTGCACTTTTTGGTGATATACAAATTGTAGCCAGCAATAATAATCATGTAACAAACACAAAGGTACTGAAGAAACTGAATGCCACAATTGATTTTTCTCTTGCCAAAACCTGATCTTAGACTATTTACGCTATTGGTTGTTAGAAGAAGTAAAGCGCATTAACATAAAATGTCCAACGTCAGTCCCGCAGAGGGTAGGATTACATTTAAAGATAAGAAAGCCTCGTCAAATGCCAATACTTCAAACATCCTTTGTTGATTTGCCTTTGATGAATGTTCTATTTTAAGGAGTCGGTGTGAGGTTGGAGTTCATTAAAAGCTGCTCTCAGAACATTTTTTTGTGTGGACCAAACGCTCATCAAATTACAATCACTTATTCTCATGGATATTGTATATAATTATCAATGACGAGACCTGACATGCATACTAAAGATGCTATTCATATTCCAATGCTATGCCCAAATATGACTCAATAAACAAAGGTGAGTTAGTTAATCCTGTTCATTAAATCAGAGACAGCCAATAACGTTTCAGGAAAACAGGAATGGACAGGAGGTATATCCATATACCACTGCGGTTCATCTAGCCAGTCCCAAACTAAAACAAAATTCTACACTACCCACTCTCAAAAATAACAACGGCATTTATATTTATATGGGACCTTTGTTTCGGAGAATTTATGATTTCTCAGCTAAATTTGATCTCTCAAATCAATTTCTTTACTGATAGCTCTCCCGTTTCCTTCTGAATTTGCTTAGACTATCGGCTTCCAAGTAACACTGGTGAAAAATGGATGGTAGGTCGAATGAACATTCTCAAAGTCATCATTATGAAATGTAATGACCGGTTTGAGGGCAAAAGAGGCTGTGATTTGGCATCATCGCGAAGATGTGATAAGGCGCTATATTAAATGCAAGAATTATTATTATTATGATCAGCAAGGTCCTACAAACAGCCATGCTACACTATTTTTTTTAAATCAGTCTGGAGTTTGTTGACCAGGACACAGGGAGAAACACACTTCTCTTTTCAAACAATGAAAAGGGATCTTATACATCCACTTACGTTTAATAGATTCCCATCCTCCAAACATAAAAGGTGCTATGTAAATGCAATTATTTGTTGTTGTTTGAAGTCTCATCCAAAAGACAATACATCTGATAAAGCAGCACTTCCCCCAGTCCTGCACTGTAATGTCAGTCTGGACTGAGAACCTTGGCCGTAGCTGGGAACCTCAAACTCTTATCAGAATAACACTCAATATCATATCAAAAAAATGGCAGTGAGAATGCTGAGAGTCAGCGGGAGCCAGGGCTCCGGGAATGGGCGTTGCCACCTCGTGCTCACTTAGCGTCTTTGTTTCATAGGAATCTTTTGTTTTGTTTCAACAACAAGTTGCATTTATTTAGCACCCTTCACATGGGGTAGGGTCCCAAAGTGCTTGAGACTAAGCACAGCTAATTAATACTACTGCTTCGTTACATCGAGGCTTGACTATGCAAACTCACTGCTTGTCGGCCTCCCCAATTTCTCTCCCCACAGGCTGCAGGTGATCCAGAACTCTGCAGCCTGTGTCCTCTGCGACCCTATCACCCCCATCCTTGCCCAACTCCACTGGTTTCCCATCACACAGTGGATACAGTTCAAGATCCTGTGTCCTCACTTTCAAAGCCCTTTATGGTCTTGCTCCTACCTACCTCTCCGACTTCCTAACCTCCTATCACCCTGTTCGCTCTCTCGGCTCAGCGGGCTCTGGCCTGATTCACGTCCCCCGCCTTGCTCGCCCCACTATCGGTGGGCAGGCCTTCCGCCATTCTGCACCCACCCTCTGGAACTCCACCCCGCAGTCCCTCCATCTCGCCTCCTCCCTCGCCACCTTCAAGACCCTCCTCTTTGACCATGCTTTCAATCTCCCTGCTTCCCCCACTGCCCTCCACCCTCCCCCACCCCCAGCTTGGGTCGGTAACTCTGTCTGTCTAGCGCCTTGGGACGTCCGCACGATGTGAAGGGCGCTATACAAATGTAATTTTGCTGCTGTTGTTGTTGCTGCTGATTATCGACTAGAATAAATTTTACCCTATTGTTGGACACTTGCTCTTTACTAACTTTGCACTCTTTGCACTACCACGTTTATTGCTGACTTCAGTCCTAACAATAAACCAATAACCAGCCTTCATATCCTAATCTTCCAGAGCATCCACAACTCATAAGTTGTGCATCTTGTGGTATCTGTGGTTATCTAACAGTTATATCACTCAGCGAATAACAGGCATTGTGATGATTCTCCCGCGATCAGTAAATTTACCAGTCTTGGTGGCATTCTCTACTGGCCAGTAACACTGCTGACCTCAGTGATGGGAGCCAAAGGCAATAAATGTATAAAAAAAATCAGAGAACTCCATTGATCTCACTTGAATTAGTTGCTGGTGCAGACACCATCCCCTCTGATCTGAGTAACACAATTTGGTGAATTGCTAAACTGTAGTGAGTTTCAACAGTTAAATGACTCAGCTCCAGCACACGCCAAGTATACAGAACAAAATGATTCCAGTAATATACTTCAAAACAGAAAACCTTGGCTGTGTAATGAGCAAACTCTAGCTTTG